CTTGCTTGCCACATACTAGATTGCTCCGCGAGCCAAAACCCTGGTGGATCGTTCAGGGTAATTAGCTAACGAAGAGACTCCATACCATTTTTCCACCTATGTTCTCGAATTGTTGACGTAAATTCGTTTGAACACGAAGCGTTGGCGTTGGCATCAGCCGTGCTTGCGCACATTGTTCTAATGTAGGTACCGAATCACAGGTATCTCTTACGCAGTGTTTTCATTCAAAAGCTGGGAAACAAGTTCCATACCTTAAGTTGGCTTAATGTATATATGGTTGCATATTGAAAATGTTGCTCCTGTGATAAGATGCCCTAAGTTTTTTCAGCTTGCCTTCGGCCCTGTTCATTTGTGTATGTTTGTCGCATTGCCTATAGGTGCGGTTCCTCACCACAGGTGCCAATACATCAGTACATGCAGCGATGTTGTTGACACATTCACCGACAGCCATTGTCGGGTTGCTGGTTCATACTGCTGGCTCCCAATTCATAGTGCAGATAAGTTCCTTAAATGCATTCCAGTCAATTCGGTGAATGTTATGGGTGGGTTGCAACTTTGTACTGCAGTGGCTTAGTTTGTTAAATGTTCACCATACAAAACGCCTGTTGTGGTCCCAGCCCTCTAGTGGACTGTCAATGAGTGCACAGGTAGAATGCATCCTTATGGTGGATATCGAATCTAGGGTATTGGCATTTCCGGTGGGTCCTCTGACATATGTGATGCAGCCATTGAAGTGGATAGAGCACACCATTTAGTCTAGTCGCGTTTAGACCGTAGGTCCAGGCAGTAACCAGCTACATTGTGACGCATTGAAATATTCACACGTAAGTTTGGACTTGTAGGTAGTGCTTGAAACTGTGCAGATAGCATAAATTAGCTGCCAGGTTTTATGGTGGGTTGCTCGGTGAGGTCGGTAGATATAATCGATTACAGGATGCCAACGACTTGTAACACGTTCCGCAATCTAACGTTTGGAACTTGCAGAAATGGTTTACGCATATCGAGATAT